ATAGATGGCGCTCTATAAAACTATATATATATATATATATATACACACAGAAATCTAGATTTAGTAGTAAGGCGTAGGTGTAAGTGTACAAAGACAAGTGGAAAAGAGTGGGTGGTTCTTTGACTTTTGCTTTGTGTTATTAATTTGTATTTACCTTTTCAAATTCGATAAATATAACTGGAATAATTTTTTTAAACTTTTTTTTGCTCCTTTGTAATAATTTAATGTCTTTTGTAAAAAATTTGATGTCAAATGCTTTGAAATACATCGAAAAATTTTCTTATTCATTCAATTTAAGGACAAAGTGCAAAATTCCAAATCAGGATTAAAATCTAAAACAATTAAACGGGAAATTTAAAGAAAAATATATAAACAAAAGGAAATAGACATATTATATTAACTAAATCTTTTTGCTGAATTTTGAAGAATTGATTAAAATTATAATTCAACCAAATATAACTCATTTTTTATGACGTTGAATGGAATTTAAGCAAATAAAGAAGCTGCATTATCGATCCTTTGATGCGAGCTTTAACTATTTTTATTATGAAGGAAGAAATAAATACTAAAAACTATTTATTGTAAATAGATGGAAGTGTTGTAACAGATTAATTTTCGCAATAGTAAATACGAAATGAGTTACTTTGATGAAACAAAGGAATTATTCCTAATTGAAATTAGCAATAAAAATGGCAAACTTATTTCCTGTTGTCGTATGAATGGTATTTAGAAATGTTTCTCAAATTGACGTTAAATTATTAATGAGCTAACAGTTTCAGTTAAAATATGGAAGCAATAAGCATGATTCGTTTATACAGGTTGCTTGTACGTGGGAGGACACTAAAGCTCTTCGATTAGAAATGGAGAAGACTCAAAGCTCTTCATCTTTACACTTCCGTTGCAAACTTCTTCAAGCTGCAGAAATGATGCAGGTAATTAAATCATTAGCTATTATTTATATCAATGAGGAACACCACTAGATTTCTCTCTGTTACAGAATTGAGAGAAAAAAAACACATAAAAGCTTATTTTGAAATAAAAACAATAAAACCAAATTAAAAGCAAACACTGCCGGGTTAGCCTAGTTGGTAGGGTACCGGGGCTATGCCCAAGTGGTCGTGGGCTCGTTCCCAGCCGGCCGAAGACTCCCTGTGTAGTAAATGGTGACTGATGCATGTTAATTCTGTTGAGTCTCAAAGTCCTCCATGTATCCATAAAAAAATCAATACCTCTGGAGGTACTGAATTGGAGATTGATAGTTCTCTGATTCAGGTCAGAGTTACGATCTGTGGATGAATGAATGTATGAATGGGTCCACCCTATAAGCGGGTGTGACGTATGGGTGTGGCAGAAGTAGAATTCTTGACCATAGATGGCGCTCTATAAAACAAGAACAATCGCACCCCGTCTGCCTTAGTGGCATACGTCAACAACAGAAGCAAACACTTTTTTGGGAAGTTTAACAGAAAACTTAAAATAAATGTGTAGCGAAAAATGTTCCAGGCTACTTCAAACTAGACTCTGCTAATCGGAAGCCGATAAAAATGTACATTAGCACTAATTTAATACAGTTCACATTTATAAATTGAAATATAAAATTTTTACTCAACGAAAAACATGCATATTTTCACAGAGAAAATTTTGTTTCTTAGGTGTGCTTAGCGTGGAAGACAACACCAAACTCGCTCTAACTTGTAATCGAATGTAAGCTAACTACTAGCGATATTCAATGTGTGTCAACATTTTTGTTATCGGATGCGAAAATAACTTATGTATGAATGCCCGTGATTTTGGAGCAATATTTCTTTTTATTTTCGGTGTTTTGGTTTGACTTCATCAATTAAACTGAATATATAAAAGCTCTGTTTGGTGTCAACTTGAAATAAAAAACGTTATTTCTCGCACTCTTTTGGATTGTTTATCGTCAAAATCTGAGTGATATTGCAACATAATTTTCATAGTGTAGCTATTTTTTATTTTCAACTATTTTTAAATATAAAAGTGCTTTAATGTTTAAGCACAATTGTTTATAAAGTTTATTAGAAATACCGTAACAGATTACGGTAAAAACTTAAGTTGCTTGTTATGGTATTATGCTTTCTACGCATTGTATATGAAGCATTTCTTTCTAAATGGATTGCTTTTTTTGAGTGCAAATAGTAAAAGAAATTTACTTGACAAAATTAAAGCATGGTTTTTAAACAAACATATGGAATTAAATAAGAGTGAAAATACTTGAATAGAAAAATATCATGTTTTTTTACTATTGAGACAGATGAATGAAAAAAAAAATTGAGATTTGAAATTTCAATACTATGTTTTTGTTTTACGTGTCCTACGTGCATAATTTTTCACTTTAATTATAGAGGAACGGGTCAAAAAATCTTTAGTTTATTCCACCCAAGCCATTCTTAACGACTAATTATTTAGTCATTCTTGTCAATTTAATTTTTCGATGCCTGATTTTAGGCAGCCCTTGGCGTTCAAGACTTGGGTCAATTCTATTACAAACCAATCAAAGACTTAGACGATACGACTGTATTATGTACTGTTAAATACGTTCCTGATTCAAAGAGCTTCAACAATCTGTCCTTAAGATGGGTGCCATTGGCAAAACTGCAGAGGAAGTTAAGCATTAGTAATGTCACTAGTCAAGATGTATTTACTGTAAATTGCCTTCTACCTTCAGCTTCACAGGTAAGTTGAAGGATTAAACTCAATTTCTGATATAGTCTCTATTATTTTCTGTAGTTTCTAAACCTAAAAAACATTAATACAAATTTTATGCTTTGTAAAAATACAACATAAACGGTTAGAAGGGATAAAAAAAATCAAATAACTATAAATAAATTTTATTCTTGATATATTGAAAAATCAAGAGGCAATGAGAGATACTACAATAACCTATCCGAATATATTAAGTTATAAAACCAGACACAGAAGTGTACTTTTTTGGTGAAATTTGAGTAAAACTTTTAATCTAACTTTATCTTTATAATTCTAGAAAAGGATTGCCGAAAAAAATCATTCGTAATTATGAAATCACTAATCGAAAAATAACTAAAGCAAAAAACACTAGTTATTATTCCTTTATTATTTAAATTAATAGTAGCCAAACAATTGCTGATTATAAAATATATGGTTTCCTCCATATTATCAAAATGCGTAGTTATTTAAACTTATAATAGATTGTTAAAACAAATATAGATATTATAGAAGAGAGATATGATTAGGTAATAGAAACAAATAAATGTAGATATAACAAGATTTAATAAGATATTAGATATTCATACGTTGCGAAAAATTCGGGATAAGGTAACGGTGAAATGCATTGGTAAAAAGCTTTTACTGTAAAATTTTACCGAAAACAAATCTAATTTATCGTAATTAACACAGTAATATGTAATGTAATTTGATAAATAACACTGTAAAAATTACGGTACACAATTTAGCTACAAAAATGTATTTTAAAAATGTTGTATTTAGAGTGGCAATACTTTTTACTGGAAGTTTATCTTGGATTATTTAATGTAAAATTATATATAGGTATTCAATTGAATTAGATGTTAGATATAATTGGCACATTACTAAAACATTTAAAGTTTAATCTTTTATCCTGAAAAAGACTCGATGGCTGAAAACATCAGGATTTAGATCACTACTTCAAGCCTGTTATGGCTGGCCTGCTTGGCCTGTTATAGCCAAGCCTTCAACCATAACAATTTGAAACTATCAGAAAAAAATATATAAAACCATGTAAGGGAAATAGTTAATTTATTTTTTATAAATGTTTACGATTTTTAGGCAATTATGGCGTACAACCACGTAAGCAAAATCCCATTGTCAAGAGGTCTCTATGTTGCTTACGTTAAAATTAGTAGCTCTGTTGATCTCATACGCATTCTGGTTCCCAAGAAAGCTCCAAATGTCTTGCCTTATTATAAAGTCCGTGATAATCCACACGTATCTTCGTAAGTATAAATATTTAACCTTATACTCTATACTTCGTTTTCATAATTTAAAGAGCCAAAGTATCTTTTTGTATTTTAAAAAGAATTTAAATTGTTAGTTTACATTGTTTGAAAAATAAAGCGAGAAACCAATAAAGATTAAATTGATTTGTATTTGCATAGGGATACTGTAATTTTTCATTTTTCATGGAACTTTTCCTTACAACCTTAAAATGGAAACATAAGATTAAGTTATCAACTTTAAAATGGATCATTTAGATTTATCAATATTTTCTCATGTGTTTCATTTCTTCTGTTTTTGTTATTTAATGTAATTTTTTTCTTTCTTTTTACAATAAATCTAACTTAAGGCTAAACTTTATTTTTTTTAAAAAAACATTATTTTATTAAAAAATTCTGAGAGACATCAAAATTAAATAAATAAAAATTTAGTTCTACTAAAAATGAAGAGCATATGATGCTAAGCATCTCTTTTGCTATTTTAAATAACGACGCCGATACGCTTTCTCATCTACTTTTTCAGAGCTCAAATATTTTTATTAACTGTCAAAAAAATTTTCTTAAAAATAATCAGAGCTATAATAAAAACAACAAAAAATATGTATTAAGTATACGGGTGTTAGAAATTCAAACAGATAAAAAAATGATATCCTTTACTTTTTTCGAGTTACTACATTTTAATTTTTTTTATTATCATTTCATTCACCCAGTCGCTTTAAATTCGATAAACATTTTATAAAAATTACAAAATACGAAATATTTACTGTTTGGTGAAGAGTTTAGTTTAGAAATACATTTTATCGTTATTTCTAAGTGCCAAAATTAGTTTTTGTTAATGTTTCATTTCTCAATTTTTATATAGAAACTAAAAAAGCTGTTTGCTCGCGTTTTATTTTCCAAAGAAAACGTTGTGTTAAATCTTAACTAATGAAACATAATACTTATTACATATAGAAAAGTGTTTTATAATTGATAAAAAACAATGGGTTTGAAAAGTTTATTGTGATATTCAATAATTTTATTTATTTTTAATAAATGACAAAAGTAAAACTTAAGTGCGCTTTGTCTTCGATTTCAGTGAAGAATGGTTATGGTTGAAGTCACAAGCAACAGAAAGCAGAATTAATCCCTCACCAGCTCAGTTGAAATTCCAGAAAATATTATCATCTGCAATACGAAATTTATTAGCTGTTCTTGAAATATTTCCGGAACAAGTTGGTGAACATAGGTAATGCTAATAATTACCACCAATTCAGAATAATATACGCTACTCGAAGATAATATTACTTTTTAAATAACTCCTGATCTAGCAATTTTTTCATAAAAAGAGCTCTCTGCATTGAAAGCTCGAGCATGATTTTCTAGTTTAGAGTTAACAATGAGTTACAAAACGAAATCTAAGGAGGAAAAATGTACCGTGAAACAAAAAGTTTAAATAAATAAAAAAATAACGAAACACCTTGAATAGTTTTGATTTAAGAATTGAATTTTTGAGGGGGGGACCTCAAATGTCTTGATTGCTTAATGTAGACGATGTTTAAGTTGCGAAATCAGACACAAAAACGCACTTTCTCCGAATAAAAAATACTATTTTTCGACGGATTATGATTTCTGACCATAAAATATAGAGAGTAGATGCAATTTGGGAAATATGATTTAAAAAAGTCAAATATTTAAAATTTGATTTCTCAGAAACCATTCGATTGATTTCGTTTAAATTTTTTTTTGCCATTCTCTAAAATGATAAAAAAAATCTGTATACCTTACAATCAAAAATTTTCTTTGACTATTATTTAATAAAATAATAAAACTAAATAAATAATTATTAAAAATTATTTTGTTTAGAAATGTCTTTGGATAAACGAATTTAAAAATTGTGTTAGAATTTTTCAATTCGATTTTATAATTCTCGATGATATGGTGTGATACGAAAAAGTAAAACTTGAGTTAAGGGGTTCAGACTCTCGACAAAACTATTGGGGCCATATTTCTCCGATTTGGGCTACCCTTATATTTTGGCTTCATTATCCACCGAAAAAGGGTATATTTTTTTCAGAGAAGGCTTTTATGTCTGATTTCTTTACTCAAAATATCAACTGCACTAATTATTTAGCATATTTGAGGTCATTGATCTGGTCCTTGAAGCATTAATATTGATTCCTAGTTCGTTAAAATCCGATCATTGAATTATACTACTATTTATTTTAGAGCATTTCCTTTTTATTTTAAAATTATTATTTTTATTCATTTATTTTTTTTCCATATTGTATTTCATTTGATTCAAACATATTGCTTTTTAACTTTCTTGGAATCTTTAATATTGAGATATGTAGTGTATAGTCACAGAATGAAGAAAAACTTGGAATTATTCAACTATGGCTGCAGTTAAAATTTTAATAATATTCTGAATTTCTGGGTAACACTTTAGAGTTGATTTAAATTTTTTTTGCGAAACTTAAAAATTAATAACTTTATGTGAAACGAAATACACAAATTATAAACATTTATGAATGTCTTTGAAAAATTTGTTTATCCAAAGATAATTATGATTTATACCAAATTTTTATAAACAATTTTATGACAAAAAAATCTTCTTTATGAATTAATTTAGTTGTGATGAAATATTTGAATTCCATCTACCATATTCTATTACAAAATTTTGATTTACTCTAATTAAAAATAAAAAAAACAGTTTCCGAAAATAAATAAGTTCAATTTACAAACTTCTGCTAAGGAAAGTAATTTGGAGTTAATTAATTTCCAATTTTGAATTTTGTAATTTTTATTAGTAAACAAATTAAAAATGAAGAGCAAAATATTTAATTATGCAATAAATGTAAGCGTCTCAAAAGACAAAATTTTGATAAGTATTGATGAAAAAAAATTATCTCTCTCAAAAATGAATATAGCAAGACTATTTTTTTGGCTTATGTTCATAATGCATCGTTTTCTTTATAAATTGAAAAAAAAATCAAATAAAAAATATTTTTTGTATTAAACATTGTCTTGGAGACAACTGTCTAGACATGCATATGACGATCTATAGTATTTTTTATTCTTTATATAACTAGATTCAAAACTATGATAGAAAAAAAAGAGCGATAAAAGTGAAATTACGGTGTCTAATTCTATAACTATGTCACAAAAGAATTTTTATTTGAAAATGAATATTTATCGAGCTAAACATATTAGTTCACATTTAACTCATTTTAACTATATGTTAGTACATTTTAATTCTGTGTTCTTGCATATATTTTATTAGTCGAAACTCTCTGCAAGTTAGGCATTAACGAACTGAAAATACATTCTTTATAGTTATTTATAATTTTCGTAATTCGTAATTACTTAAAAAATTCCATGCAACAGAAATTTTCATCTTTCTTTATTTTCTATTGAAATTTGAAAAATATCTATTTATAACCCTTTGACACAGAATTTTTATTAAACATATTTTTTCTACTTTTTTCGTTATTTTGTATTAATTTAAGTCAAAATAAGTGAAAAACATTATTTTCAGCATTTTAATAATCTAAAGTTATGAGATATAGCCTGAATCATTAATGTCTTTTTTGCGTTAAAGGAAATATCTTCCAAACACGGATGGATCACCGCCAAACAATAATATTTAAAATTTTCACTTATTTGGAGTTATTTAGATCTAAGAGAAGCAGTTATTCATTATTAAAATTTCTTTAAACTATTAATTTTTTATTCAAATTACTATTTTTTGGTATTTTATATTTTAGTCCAAATATAATTCCGATAATCTAACAGATTTTGAGAATTTTTAGTAATTATTAGACTGTTTTTTTATAATTAAAAAATATCAAAATACATTTTGACTTGTGATTAACGCTTCAGAATGTTTCGCGGCACACTGCTAAGTTAATCATCGTCTCTCTCAGCTCACCCCCATTTTCATAAAATCGAATCAGATTTGATACATGCGCAAATACGTGGAAGATCTTAGGACATGAAAATATACAAAATGTTTAATATTTATATTTCTGTGATTTATATTTACTGGAAATCTTACAACCTATTCGACATTTGAAAATGTTTGATTGACATGATATGTCAAAGCGTAAAATTAGTTTCACGTACAATTTTAATGCAATATGTTTTCATTATATTTTTCTTGTTTTACAGACTTTACGATAATGAGGTCGTCGAGCTTAATCCCGAAGTATCACTTTTACTTTTATTACCTCCTGTCGATTCGTTGTGTTCGGTTCCTGGCCAAAAAGATGATATAACGGAAAGAACAGACTGTGTTCTACTACCTCTACAAATTTTTGAAATGAGTGAGTTATTCTAAAGTTAAGTCTATTTAATTAACTAACAAGATGGCACTTAATCCAAACGGGGCAACTTTGTCTCGGAGCAATTTGAATAAAACAATAGAATAGAATGTAACCCGTAACATAAATAGGTTGTATTTGAATGGCTGTATGTGGGGATGTAAATTCTCCATCTTATGGAGTGATAATTGTTCCATCTTTTAAGTGAGTTGCGATGGAGTGTTTTTGTGAGTATGCGTGTGTTTTCCGTCTTATAAATAAGTTTTAGTTAAGTAAATTTGTAAATGTCAGCCTTATAAATGAGTAATGGTCAAGTGTTTTTGTGAGTGTATGCATTTGTTCTGTCTTATAAATAAGTTATAGTCATTTGATTTTGTGAGTGTGAGTATGTGTTTAGTCTCACAAATGAGCTATGACCTTTTGTGAGTGTGCGCATTCGATCTATCTTATAAATATAATCAATTGATTTTGTGAATGTGAGCATGCTGTTGTTCACGTATGCCTGTTAGGCAGAGGGAAGCGATTGTTCTTGTTTTCCAGTGGCGCCACCTGTAGTATATCCATGCCCAAACGTCACACCCATTTATAGGGCGGACCCATTCAATCATCCACGGATCGTAACTCTGACCTGAATCAGAGAACGATCAATCTCCAATCCAGTATCCCCAGAGGTATTGATTTGTTATGGGAACATGGAGGACTTTGCGACTCGACAGATTTAACGCAAATCGGTCATCATTTACTACGCGTGGAGTCTTCGGCCGGAGGGGTTCGGATCCACGAACTCTTGAACATAGGGCCAGCGCCCTACCGACCAGGCTATCCCGACCCACTGAGAGTATGTGTTCAGATTTAAAAATGAACTGTGATCGAGTGTTTTTGTGTGTGTGCACATGTGTTCCGCCCTATAAATAAGTTATGACTAAGTGTTTTCGTAAGTGTGTGCACATGTTCCGTCTTATAAATAAGTTATAGCCACTTAATTTTCTGTGTGTGCGTATGTGTTCAGCCCTATATATGAATAATGCTGGAGTATTATTGTGAGTGTGTGCATGTGTTCCGTCTTATAAATGAATTATAGTCAATTTATTCTGTTAACGTGAGTGTGTGTCTAGCCTTGTGAAAGGGCTATCGATTAATTATGTCAGTTTTTTGAAGTGAGCAAAGCTGCTACATTTTCGTGGAATAATTTTACGTGCACCTGTCGATGCAGGCAAAATTGGCATGCAAGTATTAAAATTTATCTATCTGGATGAAGTAAATACACACCTCCAAAGCAAATGTTTGAAGTTAATCGGATTTTAAAAATAATTATTTTTATAATGCAAAGTTATAAAAGTATTAAATTTAGTTATATTTAATCATTCTCGATCGGATTTTTTTCCCACCCCAAAAAATCATTTTTTTAATGATGAAAATTAATATATGTTCTGTCTTAAATTCGGAAATGTAAAACATTTTTGTCAGCAAACAGTTTTTTGCTTTTTTGGGGAACTATGTCATGTCCCGTTCACTGATCTCAAGTTTTCCCTGCAATGCACCCTAATTTTGTCTTAAGTAAACACATTTTATTCCCTCTATTGCTTTAAGGTGTTTAACATAAATTTCTGCATAAAATACTTATGAAAATTAGGTAAAAAATATTTTGGAAAATAGTTTTAACACTGAATGAAATAATTAATAACTAGGAGGCTTTGCACCCGATTAGACATATGATGCTCCCTACGTGCTCTTGCGCTCCGAAGCCTATCAATTAAAACGTATTAGCGTTTTATATAACATGGATTAGCCATATGATGCTCAGTACGTGCTCTTGCGCGCCGAAGCCTATCAATTAAAACGTATTAGCGTTTTATATAACATGGATTAGCCATATGATGCTCACTACGTGCTCTTGCGCGCCGAAGCCTATCAATTAAAACGTATTAGCGTTTTATATAACATGGATTAGCCATATGATGCTCACTACGTGCTCTTGCGCGCCGAAGCC